TTTTAAATTTTAAAAAAAATAAATCATAAGCAAATTTATAGCAATTTTCCAGGCAAATTTGCCTGGAATTGCTTACAATTTAAGGGATAATATTGAAATTAAATTAACTAAGATGTGGATAATGTTAATAACATGCGTTAGTGAGTCATTCTTGATAGAAGCCACAATAATTTTGATACAAACTCAACTTTAAAATGTCAGGTAAGTTTGTAAGGATTTTTCAAAAAAATAACTACTTACTCGCAATATTCGGAATAGGCACTTCCCAATTAGAACTGGAGATGGTATGAGCAGAGACTTCAGGATTTGGTTTGATAATATCCTTTTTGCGTAATTTTTTTAAATCAACTGATGTAAATATCCTCCAATCTCCAATATTAGGAATTGCATATACCAATATGCATCCAGAAAATTCTCCTTCAGTCGGTCATTTCTATTCAAACCAATTGGAATTACTAGGTATAGTATTTCTTCCACTATCCACTACGTATAAGCATTGAGTAGAATTTTATCAAATTTAGACTACCCCTAATTTAATTCTTTATTTAAAATAGATTGAATGGGAAAGAGTATAAAAAAAAACAAATTAAAAAAACTACAGTAATTCTATTGTTGAAAAAATATCTTAAATTTAAAAAAAAGTGGTGAGTTATACTAAACGTAGAATTAAATTGGTCTGGTCTTATTTTAAAAACTAACCTCTGTCTCGGTTTGGTTTTAAATTTGCTATGGAGGTTCCACAAATATCCTTAATAGTGTTCTCTATATCTTGTTCTATAGAGATATCAAACCCAAGATGAATATGCTGATTAATAGCGTGAGATATCTAAACCAAATAGGATAGTTAGAAATTTTTAATTATATGAAAAAATCATTACTCGGATTCTTGATTTAGAATTATCTAACTATTTAACATGTTAAAATTCTTAACCCCTTTTATATATAAGCGTCACCAAAAGAAAACCCAACAATTTAAATATAGTTTATATTTAAATTGTCAGGTTTTCTTTTTTTGGCGATACTCATATAATATTATATATATAAATATTGATTAGAAATATTTTAAGAAACTGATTTGGTATTACTGTTACCTAAGCATGGTGTGAATCAATCATAGTTTTGGCTTCTCCAGCCTCTAAAAACACCTATTTTTCTACCTTAACCCCATATCATTCCGCCAATAACTCATAATTATCATTAAATCCGCATTGTGGTAGTGACCACCATTGTCAGATATAATTATTACAGACTCTGGTTTATTTTCTAATGTTTCTATCACTGCATGAAGAGATGAAGCGATGAACCATGAATCTTGTCTTATATCCGCAGACCAATGGTTAAATGCTTGAATTCATAATTTTGTTAAATTATTCTGGGTTGTGTATACCAATACAGAATGAAGGGACCATCCATTTTTTCTAAACCAATCTTGTTTGGTTTCACGAGCAGATTTGGGCAAAATTTTTATTTTATAATCCATGAGAATCAATGCTTTACTCTTATTTAGCTTCAATAAATTTGCATTGAATTGCCTATTTAAATAAACTTTACATGTTTGGTGGGCTATATAATAGTATATCTAATCCTGCAACTCAGATAATTCCTCATGTCCATTATTAACAGAATTAACTCTCAAATTAGAAAAAAATTCGAATATAGCATTATATTCATTACAACTACGTGTGTGAGGTTGGTGGTATTCTTCAAATACATATAATAAACAATAGTTAATGCAAGTATCATGAATTGTTGTACCTTTAGTTATAATATGAAAGTGGGTTTTGTAATCATGTTTTAAAAATCGGTTTAATTTTTCACAAGTCTCTAAGAATTGTGCTTAACAAAGTAATTTATACACATATATTAGTAATATAATTATAGCTTTTGCATAAAAATAATTTGGTGATGCCAAGAAAAATAAAAAATATATATATTTTTTGGCAACACTCATATTAATATAATAAAATAAAATCAGAAACCCGATTGCAGGTTTTTTTTAGCATAATTTATTTTTATTTATATACCTGAACTTTGTAATCTTTTATATTATTTTGAATATATTTGCTAAGTTCTTCAAATGTATCATATCCATATTTTGAACAGGTTTGGCAAAGCCTACCTAAATTCTCACGATATAAATATCATCCACCTTGTAGATGTGTATAAAAACTGGTACGCTTCATACTATCAGAGTATTCTTCATGAAACTGCTCCCAAAGCATGTCTTTGGATTGTTTTAGATAGTAAATAGACTCATTAGTTATTGAATCAGTTTTGTATGAACTTATAATTATGTTTGCTTTGTTCATCAAAAATTGTTGAATTTGTTCTTTTTTTTCAGAGAACATCTTTTCATGTATAATAATAGGCTTGTTTATGATTTGTCCCCCAGGGCCATGAATATTTGCATGGTATCTAGCGGCATTAATTGCATTGTTTGAAACCTTAAAATATAAAGTTTAAAGTAAATAATTCATAGTTATATATTCGTTATGCTTATTATTAATAATTTATAAAATAACCTCAAGATTTTCCTTGATTTCTTCATATGTAAATGCATTTGCAATTATAGACAAAATGTGGCACTTGCTATTACTACCACGAATATTAATATTCAAGAAATTTTTAATGCATTGCCAGAAAGTATCAGTATTATTTTTGTTTTTTTTTGGTATTGGAATTAAAAATCCAAGAGTATATAATGTTGTTAATATAGCTTTATCTGCTTTTGGGTTCGTTGATCTAGACCAAAATCTGAACTAAATAAATAACAATAATAAATTATAAAGTAATGATTATAAAATATAATTGAAATTGCGATTAATTACATAATTTACCTTTGATTGATTTTTTTCAAATAGTGTAATTTCTACATATCCAACATGTCATAAAAAAGATTCTCATGCTCTATACTCATGAGCCTTCAATGTATAATTTTTTGGATATAAATTTTGTAAAGTTAATTGTAACTCAATTATTGTATACTCTTGTGATAACCAATCAGAAAA